GTGACACTGCTCGGACAGCGTGTTTGAACAGCTGAAGGAGCAGGACTGCAGGGCCATGACCTCTCGGTGAAACTGTGACGCTGAAGCAAGCCCTGCGGTCTGGGCAGACGACTGTGAAACACGACAAGGATAAAAATAAAATAGCATGCTAGAACTGGGGTTCGCGGTTGGCAATTTTAAGCTACAGTTTTGAATGAGAAATCATCCACCATTAGGGACAGTCATGCACAGTTGTAACTATTTTAACCATCAGACTTCTGTTGCTTTCTCTCGATTCTCACTAGAAAAGTCTCGCGCACAGTGAGCAAGTGACATTGGGTTTTACACAATGAATAAAGATAAGGACGCATCATTTTCTGACCCCTAAGACCACTGTTGTCAGATTTTGTAGATGTGCTTCCAGCATTTAAAGTATACACGTATAACCCACTGCACACCCACAGAAAGCAAAAGAAATTGCACAGGACAGAGCTGGTTCTGGTCAGTGCTGGGATGGGAGACTACCAGGGAAAGTCAGATTGCTGTTGCTAGTGGTGCTGTTGGACCAGTGGGTGGTGCTCCTGCCTCTAGTCCAGAGTTTGTAAAACAATGCCTGAGTATGGTGACGGGGCGCTGTGCTGTAGGACAGGGGTTCCCAATCCTGGTCCTGTAGGACCACATACCTGCCGTATTTGTTTCTGTCTGAGTTCTCACACAATTCAACCCTTTAATTCGCCCAACAATAAGATTGATTTGAACTGACTGGTTTCTGGTCTGGTTAGAGGTTGCCTTTTAACTACTGCGTTTCAAAAAACATTTCAGAAAAGAAGTTATTATTTTAGTTATTTACAATGTAAGCAATTCAGCTGGGCTTGGAATGAAAACCAGCAGCGAGTGGGCCTTCAGGAGCAGGGCAGGGAGCTCTGCTGTAGAAGGTGTTTTCCTTTGGATGAAACATTAAACTAGTTCCATTCTGATGGAATGGCTGCACAGTCCACGCTTGCACAAGGATCCCCCTTAACTCCCAGTTCCTCACTGGCCCTGCCACCCAGATCTGTTCTGTAGTGGGGCTGCTGCGTGCCACTCTGCAGGGTGCTGTACTTCAATAGTGGGTGCTGTGACTGCCCTCTCATATTTAAAGAGCTGGGGGATCCTTTCCCAAATAGCCTCAGGCACCAAGAGGCGCACTGTGACTTTAGCGACTGTGCTTTGCTGCAGAAGCCCCACACACTGGCTGGCGCCGCTTAGCGCACCAGAACGAAATCCAGCCAGAAATTCCCATCCTCCTTCACACTCCCTGTGGAGGTCCGTAGGTGGAGGTGAGTATCGTCCCGTAGAGAATTCCCACTGCCGTACTGCGGTACAGCAGACCCACCGCCAGTGGGTCAAACCCGTGCTTTGACACATCGCAGCAATAAGCATGCATGGCACGCAGTGGAAGCTCTCCTCAGGTCAGCGTCAGTCACAGCTAGTGAAAAATCCCGAAGTGTCACAGCTCTCTGGTCTGCAGGAATGACGCGTGGTATAGAATATCCCCAGAAAGTATGAACATACACAAACACATACTGTATACATAATGTGTGTATTAAGGCGATATGTTTCCCCTTTTCCCTGTCTGGCAGGATGAATGGAATAATAATAAATATCAGAAACAGACAATGATAACAAAGATGCTAGCAGTCCAAAATGGGACAGACCACACATGCACCAGACGACTGAATTGACAGCGGTCAGCTCCCTCACTCTCACAACCAGAAAGTCAGGTGCAAGCTGTGGTGCAACTGCTCTTTAATACTGCAGGCGTGAGGTGGAGTGGGTGCCACAAGGGGGCGCTCAGTCGCAGGCGTCGCCTGGCCAGCCCAGCTCCTTCAGGAAGCTGCTCTTGCCGTGGTGCACCTTGCCGAAACGCTCCAGCTGCAGCTCGGGCACGGTGGACCTCCAGCCAATCAGACCCTGCGTCGTCGGGGGCACGGCTGGAGACGCCCCCACCTGCGGAGAGCGCACAGCAGAGCCGGGGTTAGAGGTCAGGCGTCAGTGTGACCGTAAAGGTTTCTGTTTTCCCAGGACAGGGGACACTGCCAGGTGCGCGGAGCAGGCTGGCAGTCAGGACCGTCTCACACTGGAGGAGCAGAGATGGGGCACCTGGAAGTACTTCTCTGGAGAAGTGGTGGGGCGTGTCTGCAGATGCTCTGGCAGCTCTAGTTTGACTCCTTCCTTCTTCAGCGTCTGATCCTGCAGCATCTGGGAGAGACGGGACAGAGAGCAGAGTGAGCCCTGCACCCCCGGGACACTGAGCTCAGGACCAGACACACTGAGCTCATATAGTGAGCCCAGAACAAGGGGTGGACCTTCCCCACTCCACAAAGAGCTTCACATTCTGTGGTCAAAATGCTAGTAAAACCAACACATTCAAGGCCGATTGGCTTTGATAAGAGACAGTAGTTGGTGTAAAAACAGAGAGGGAGGCCTCATGACCAGAGAGACTGGAGACATTGCATGGAAAGTTAGTCAGTCACCTCTCTCTGAGCAGGACCTCAAGATCAGCGCGCATGCGTGTACGGTACGTGTGCGTGTGTGTGTGTGTGTGTGCTCGCTGGGTCAGGGGCTCGTGAAGCCACACCGGCCTCACTGGGGACCTGCTCTGAGTTCAGTCAGTCTGAGCAAGTCTGCTCCTTCACATGGGAATGCCCGCAGGCAGTCCTGACCCTGGAAATCTTTACTACTGCGGTGTAACCTGGCACAACCAGCGCAAAACACTGTGCGGTATTGTGTAGTCATGGCCAAGGCAGAAAACTGTGGGAAAGCATGAATCTGAGGTCAATAATTGCTGCGGGGTTCATGAGTGCTGTTCTGTTATTACAGATCATTAGAAATGGCTGCAGTAATTAAGACCTTACTGCAGGTGCAGGAAATTCTTTGCGGGCTACTGAAGTTACATGATGTGACTCGGTGAGGCTACATCACTACAATCAGTGTCTCTCACAGATCATTTCACTTACAGTGGGGGCACATTCAGCTGTTTCTGCCCACACAGCTGAGTTTCAGTCTGAGACAAGGGGAGAGATGTTTATTTTTTTCGTTACTTGAAGCCAGATAAGAGAAATCTCTCCATCTTGATCCTGTTATTTTCCAGCTGAGTACCCACCTCATGGTAGGACATTGTTAAAAACCCCCACTTGCTGGGCCAGACTTTAGCTGCCTCCAGCTCCATGTTGACGTGACACTTCCTGAAGAAAAAGAGAAAGCAGAAAGTGTGGCCCTTGTGCCCATGTACACGTACAGTCCCTGCACAATCACGCGTGCACATACTTGTACTGTACACATATACTGTACGCATGCACACGCAGCAATGTCAGTCCCACTGCACCGTGAGTACACAGTCCCCAGCAGAACAGCAGTGCCTTCGCTCTCACCATGACTTTGCATACTCTGCCTTGTTTACACATTTCTCCTGGTGTATAACAAACAAACAGAACAGACAAAACAGACTAAAAACACACCCAGTTAAGATGTCCCATTGCTGTACTACACCCTTGCTTATTTATGCTTGGAGAGAGGACGGCTCTATCACAAGTCTTTAGTTTTTAGTTTAGTCTTTAGTTTTAATGTATACCTTCAGAGAGACTGAAAATAGCTTTACCAGATCTGATCCTGGGCCACAAAGTTCTGTTCCTTTGCTGGGTTTGCGGGAGTTTTGGTGGCAGCCATGTCTGTCCATCAGCCCCTCTGTGTATCAGCCCACATGCTCCTGGCCAGATCAGCTGCACTGTTTACTGCTGCCTTGGCAACAGAACGCTGTGTGACCTCACCTAATGTTACCTATGGTTACTGTTTCCCAGGTAACAAGGTCAGAGCACTGCTCCATGCTTGGAGTGTGACGCAGAGAGTGTCAAACATGCACAGGCCAGCTGTACGTTGTGTGAAGCATGTAATGGCTACAATTGTAATGGCACATGTTTACGTGCAGAACAGTCATCCATGATAATCTGACCTCTTCCCTTCTCTGGTAACGCAGCTCAGTGGGAAGGTTCAAGGCAGCAGTGTGCAGGAGTGGTCAGGGCACTGCACTTACACTGGGACGGCAGAGGGCTCAATAGCAGCCAGCAGTGAGCAGGTACTGCACTTCACTCGGGTAGCTCCAGTAAATGCTACATGGGTACGCTCCAGGATGCCGATGTAAACGAGAATTTGTTCTACGCTGAATTAGCTGGTGTTATGTTTATGATGGGTGGTGGGAGTGTGGAACAAGCAGCCCAGCCATGTTGTTGAAACCCATTCCCCTGGCTTCCTACAAGAAACAGAGCGGTGGCTCTGTGGCTCAGGATCTGCGCCTGTGGCTGGAAGGTTGCCGATTCGAATCCTGCGGCTGGCAGAGGAATCCAACTCCGTTGGGCCCCTGAGCAAGGCCCCGAACCCCAACTGCTCCAGGGGCGCCGTATAAATGGCTGACCCTGCGCTCTGACCCCAAGCTTCTCTCCCTGTCTGTGTGTCTCATGGAGAGCAAGTTGGGGTTTACGAAAAGACAAATTCCTAAGACAAGAAATTGAATATGGCCAATAAAGTGATCTATCTCTCTCTTAAACAGCTGGATGGGTTGCTGGGGTGGCCTGCTTGTTGGGCTGTGTTGCATTGAGCTCTTCTGTGTTCTGGTAACGTGCAGTGTGGGGAAGGCTATTTCAAGCCAGCCTGGAGGGCTCTGAGCTGACTCTCCTGCTCAGGTTAAAGGTGTGCTGGCAGAGGCACAGGGAAGCTGTACAAGTAGCCAAGAAGCCCAGAGCACAGACCGGGTGGGGTGGGGGTGGGGGCTGCTCCCTCTGCGCAGACGAGGTGGGGTGGGGGCTGCTCCCTCTGCGCAGACGGGGTGGGGATTCTGCAGGACAGCGCGGAGGAGCTCTGCGCCCCGGCCGTCCAGAACTGTTCCCTTTCATCCCGCGGCAAAGGGAAAGGAAGGGATCTTGACTTGACCTCCTTACTGAAGCTGACTGCCAGGCTGGGTTTCAAGAAGATAATAAAACACCCAGCATGGCAGTTTTTCCTTTCACTCTGCCCTGTGGATGTGGGCTGCAGCAGAACAGCTATTGGTTCCTCAAGTGCACCTCAGGGGATGCTTTAAAAACCTGTTTATTACGGACAGGCTGTTCATTTTTTGTCTCTTTGTTTCTCTTTGGTTGACAGACCCTCATGAAGAGCGAGCGCCCGGGGAGCACACTGCCAGCCACCACGCCGCGGCCCAGCCTCTGCACAGGGGCCAGGGGAAGAGCAGGTGTCTGCGTTTCCTGCTGACTCCCCCAGGCCCGGTCGTTGCTGAGGGCCAAGGCCCCTCTGTGCTGAAGTCTGCCCTCTCTGTAACCCAGCCCTGGGCAAGCAGGCTACTGCTCCACCAACTTCTCTTACAAAAGGATCAAATTAGCTAACAAGGGAAGCTGGATCATCTCATATTCATGCATTTACAGACTGAAAACATGAACGACAGCTCTTTAAATCATACTGTATGTGCCAAGGACAGACATGGAGGAAAAGTGCTAGTGCACATTATTACTCCTAAGTGTGTGTGTAGAAGTCACTCCTCGCCTGCTCACCTCCCAGTGAACTCCCCAGCCTCGGCAGACAGGGATTTCTCTCCGCTACGCTGAGGCCGTTTCTCGAGTGCAGCGCGAGTTCAGGGAGCTGTCTGAGGAGAGCAGGAACACGTGACAGGTAAGAGCACTTCAAACATAGAAGGGGACCCGCCTCATCCTCACTGAGGGAGGTACAGCCCCACACGAGCAACACAGCAACCATTCTGCACCAGCAGCCCCACACAGGCAACACACAGCAGTAATTCTGCACCAGCAGCCCCCCCTGGGAGACACACAGCGACCATTCTGCACCAGCAGCCCCACCTGGGAGACACACAGCAACCATTCTGCACCAGCAGCCCCACCTGGGAGACACACAGCGGCCATTCTGCACCAGCAGCCCCACCTGGGAGACACACAGCGACCATTCTGCACCAGCAGCCCCCCCTGGGAGACACACAGCGGCCATTCTGCACCACCATACAACATTCTGCAACTAATGCATTTAGGTTCCAAGTGCTTTTAAGTGCAGCAAATGACCTTGAATGTGCCTGTGATGCCGCAGAGACCCAGAGGACTGCTGCGGAAGACGGGTCTGTTCAGCAGCTTCTGCACAGCCCCCTCGTGCGTCTGCATGCTCAAACCTCTGAGCCGCTGATTGTGCTCCTGCCTTGCTGCTGCTGCAAGCCATTTCCTAAGCTCCCTCCCCCTCTGCTCCCCGGGGGTTCCTCTCCTTGCCACCTCTGCTGATTAGCGGTAATGACTGCCTCTCCCGGTGGGTTTCTGTGTTTCCCACGCAGTTCCGCATGGGCGTCACAGGGGGAGCCCTCGAGCCTCTCAGCCCAGTCCCTGCTCCCTCTGCTCAGGCTCAGATCTGTGTGCACCCGTGTGGGTGATGAAGTTTTTTTGGGGGGGAGTGGGGGTTGTACTTCTCCAGCTAGGATGTCCTCTGGCTGCAGCTGCAGTGTTGGGCTTGGAGCAGAGCAATTCTCTCCCCCCACAAAGGACAGGCCCAGCTCCTCAAACAGTCTTTCACGCGAAAGTCTGCCCCCAAACTCACAGCAGATTCCAATTTAATCTTTTTTTTTTAAACTTTTTTTTTTGCTTTCACAAAAAACATGCAGACACAAAAGCCCTATTATACGGAAGGCTTCTTTGATGCGGGGGTGGTCAAAGACCGTCGCTTTGGGCCCAACCCAGCGCTGGCCTGGACAACAATGTGCCACTTTGGCACGGAGCTGGGCAAAGGATTAATTCTCCGAAGAGTCGTGCCAGACAGATGGGTCAGAATTCCTGTACTAGAAACTGTGGGAAGGTCGAGCCTGCGTTTATTAATCTGCCAACGTCAAGGGCAATATCAAGTGATTAATTGCCATGAAGCCACTAATTGAAATCGTAGGTGGGTATTCAAGGAAGAAGCAGTGAGGTCAGCTGACCACAGGCAGGCCAGACCATGAACACGCCACGTTCAAGCAGACATGTGCGGGACCCGCTGGCTCTGCTCCGACTGGGGTGTCAGAGAAATGTCTTTGAAGACGCTGGAGGGCCCTGCGTCATCGCTGCGCCCAGTGTCGGTGAACACCGGCGTGCGCTCTGGCTCAGGGGCTCTGTCCCTGTGCGCAGGGCTGCGTGGAGAGAGATCAAAGCCCCTGACGTGGGCGCTGGGCTCCTGCCTTCGTCACTCTGCGGAACACGATTTGAGCCCCTGGGGAACCAAAGCTGTTTCATTGCAGAGGAGGGAAAAAACCCACCCGTCCCAGGAAGAATCCGATACGACGTGCGTTTATGTTCAAAGAGCATTTGGGATTGTGGGAGAGCCCAGGTGGGCGACAGGCCGCCAGAGGTACGAGGTACAAGGCCTCTGTGAGAGGTCACGTGCTGTGCTGTAGAAAAACAGCACAGGTTCAGCGTCTCACTGTCCACCATGTGGTCAGAAGAGGAACTGACACTCAGACCTGAGCAAAGCCAAAAAGAACAAAGACTCTGGACAGTGGTGTCAACCTCGGTACTTTGTGACTGCCAGTCTGACTGCGCGTCTGTGATCTCCTGGCTATCTGCACTTGATGACCTTTTAGGTACAAATGGGCCTTTTAGGTACAGTGGGCGCAAGGTGGGGTACACCCAGGACAGGACACCAGTCCAGCGCAGGCCACACACACACACCAGGGCCAGTTACTCCCAGAAGCCAATGAACCCACCAGTATGTCTTTGTACTGAGGGAGAAAACTGGGGCACCCAGGGGAAACCCCTGCAAACCTGGGGATAACATGCAAACTCCACCCCAGGAATTGAATCCAGAGTCCCAGAAGTGTGAGGCAGCAATGCTAAGCACTGTACTACTGTGCTGTCATGTTACATGTCAGCTTTTAAATACAGGCAGAAGAAAAGCTGGGCGTGATCTGTCAGGGTTCATCCTCCATGCAGCAGCTAAAGTGAGTAAGAGTTTGCTTATGATGATCCCTCTTCACAAAACTGTCCACTATGTCGAGGGTGGATCTGAGTGTCAGCATCAGGCACAGCACGGTTCTGGGGCTGTGATGTGCACAATGGAGACCAGTTAGAGAAAGGTCATTCTGAGTGCACACTGCCTTGATGAGGAGCAGGCCTGTGCATGCTGGGCTGTCACACCACATGAGCAAGGACATGGTCTGTGTGTGGGCACAGTGAGCATATAGCGTGTGCATGTTTATCTGTGTGTGTGAACAGTAAGCGTACTGCATGTGTGTCTGTGTGTGTACAGTGAGTGTGTGTGAACAGTGAGCATTCTGCGTGTGTTTGTGTGTGTACAGTGAGTGTGTGTGAACAGTGAGAGTACTGCATGTGTGTGTGTACTTGTGTGTGTGAACAGTGAGCATACTGCATGTTTGTGTGTGTGAAGTGAGTGTGTGTTTTTGTGTGTGTGTACAGTGAGTGTGTGTGAACAGTGAGCGTACTGCATGTGTGTGAACAGTGAGCATACTGCATGTTTGTGTGTGTGAAGTGAGTGTGTGTTTTTGTGTGTGTGTACAGTGAGTGTGTGTGAACAGTGAGCGTACTGCATGTGTGCTTGTGTGTGTACAGTGAGCATACTGCATGTGTGTGTGTGTACAGTGAGTGTGTGTGAACAGTGAGCGTACTGCGTCCGTGCTTGTGTTTGTTGGTGTGAGGGCTCACCTTCCTCTTGCTCTTTCTCCCCAGGATGGCTGCGATGGTACGAATGCAGCCCTGACGATGGCGGGCCACAACACCTGGCTGGTCATTATTTCACTGGCAAGCAAACAACCGAACCAAAATAAGAACAAAAAAGCACTTTTGCTGACAGCAGGGAGCTCTGCGACAGCAGAGAGACAGGCAGGCTACAGCGTTGTGCTGGGTTCAATCTGACTGGGCTGCCAGGGACAGCCGCACTCCGAATGCTAAGCAGAACAGATACTTTTTTAATAACTCTGTTCCTGTCTCTCATAATGGCCGGGGAATTACATCACTGTGTCTTAGCACTCCCACAGCTAAAAGTTCACCCTTCTCTATAATTTAAGTTCCATTACCATTCAGTAACTAGTGCTGGAGTTGGCTATTATAAGAAAGCAGCACAAAAGTTTTTGAGGTGTATACTGCATAATGACTTAATGGCATGAATTGTGACAAAGAAGTCAGCTCCCGAATGACACAAAGAAAGGTACTCAGCTCCCATCAGCTGCCCAAGCTCTCTCAATTCAAGGAACTTTGACTAATTTTCAGTTGTCATAAAGGCCTCAGTTTCAGTGTCAGGCTCTTCCTCCATAGGCAGTGTAACATTTTCCATGCTGAATAGGTAGAAATTACAAAATAAAAAGCCTGAAAAGTGCAGAATGATTTCAGACCCAAAGCTTTTTGAATGGGTTGAACTAACTCCTCAGTGGCTACACTGTCCTGCACAGCCACAAAACATCAAGGATGGTCTGCAGCTGTCGCTGAACCTAGTGGACTCTTGCTAATATCCCAAGTGTCTTGTACAGAGTTCTACCATTTCCTACAGAAACACAGGAGACTGAGAGAGAATATGTTTTTCTTCTACCCTTGTCAGTGCTATGTACCTGCTGCATCTGTAGTGTATTGTCTGTTAGTGTACTTGGTGAATAGTGTAATTTACCTGTCATGCCAATGAAGCCCTTTGAATTGCACTGCATAACAGAGAGACTCACACAGAGACAGAAGGACAGAGATGTGTTGAGCTTCCAACCCTGCAATTTTAGCTCCTTTATGTTTTTTTTTACTATCATCACAAAGAAAATATACGTTTCTGTCTGGTCTGGTATATCACTTCTCTTATCTGGTTAATGGAGATTCTCAAGCACTTCAGGAAGCACGAACAAGAGCTGTTTGGTTTGCATCAGGCGCAGGAGCCTGTCTGTGGGACGGGCTTTTCTCTTGTTTTCTCATGGCTTGTTTGTCGCCTTCATTCCCATCATACCTCTTCTTGAACTACAATGCAGCTACAGAGACCGGAGCAGGAGACCGAGTAAAAACGGGATCTGTTTGTTCAGCTGTTTCCTGATACTGTCCTCCCCACAGGCTGTCTGGGGGCTGAGGTACCAGTCTGGTCACTGTCTGTCTGCTGGGGTGAACTTTCACAGAAGCTTCCAGACAAGATGAAAATACAAGTCGCATCATGTGAGAGCTGAAGAGCCAACGGGGAGGCATTCCAACATTTTCACAGATTTGTATTTGCTCCCATCTTCTTAAACCAGCTGTAAAATTGAAGCAAAAATGGATGACAGTGATGAAAAGTAACATTTTGTTTGCTGAAATCTGCGTTTTTACCGCGGAGCCAGCCTGGCAAAGGTGGATCACATTCTGCACGAGCGAAAAGGCCTTGAAAGTCATCTCATTAACCTTTTGAGTGGACAGCAGCCGAAGGCTGAGCTGATCCAGGCTCCTCACAGAGCTCCAGTGCATAACGAGGTGGTTCCCTGCAGCTCCTCCAGAGCAGCCACGGGCCCTGTTCCCTGTGCAGAGGAGGGGTCAGGACACAGAGTCATGCCTCACAGGAGGAGCAGCTCTGCACAGGGCTCAGAGACAGAGATCAGCACCTGAAACTGGGATGTCCTACTGGAACCAGTTGGCCGGGACCCTTCAAAACACCAGCTGACTCCTGGATCACAAGCGAGTGAGTTCTAATAGAAATAACTGGTTGGACTGTCTTATGGTCCGGTCCAGGTCTGTTTGTTTTCTAATGAATCACCGGGGTGATCTTTCAGCATCCTGCAAGGCGGAGCCGGTTCCGGACCGTCTGGTCTGTGTGTCTGAGAAGCGAGGAGAGCAACAGGAAGTTTACACCATCACGACAGAGCAGCTACGCTCCAGCCCTCCTCTCCACCGCGGGCGGCACCCAGGCCCACTGCAAGCGCCGCAGAGGATCTGCTCAGCCCTCCCTTCACCGAGTCCGCAGGGCTGGCAGAGCCACGCTCCAGAATCATGACAGCTTTTCTCTGAAAGGTCACAGCTCCCCCTCCTCGTGCCAAGCCGGAGAGCAAATATTCAGATGGAAAATTAGTCTCCGGCTGGCAGCTAATCTTGAGTCTGGAAATTGGAATGCCCTGTCAAAAAAAAAAAAAAATACAAATGAAACAAACATGATAGATATGTACACATCAGCGAGAGGAAGAAATGAGAAAGAAAAGGAATGGATGGCTTGAGAGATTGCATATTGTTATTTTTGTACTTTAGACAGACAATCTGTAATCAGCTTTCAGATACCATGTGGGTAAAGTCACTGACAAAGGGGCGTGAGTCAGGCCAGCTCCCGTCTCTGGCAACAGCACACGAGCCAGGAAACAAGAACGATTTCACTGACCACTGCAAAGCCAAACACAGCTACTGATCTAACGTATAAACCAGCGTGCAACACAGAGCAGTCATCTCCACAGCACCAGGGCTTCAACTGTTGGTCCAACATGCACTGCGTCCGCAGGCTGGGGGACCCGGGCGCCTCTTTCCCCAGCTGGCACGGTGTGCGTCCCCCTAACATACCGGATTCCTTCTGCCAGCCTTCATTTCCTGTACGGATTTAGTCACGGACGCGTCGTACCCTGAAGATGGAAAAAAAAAAACAAAACAAATCAGAGCACAGACATGTGGAGAACCTTTTGTGCCAAAATAATTTATTATTTCACTTGTTGACTCATCAATCCATGTGCCAATTCATCCATTCATTTACTTCATTCATCTGTTGACAAATTAAATTAATTCATAAGATTGGATATTCATAGAGTATTTCAACTGTCATTTTTCCCATTCATGAGCTGATGACTTAATACTTGAATGTCTGGTTGAAGTGATAAACTGCATCGTTCATTGATGAATAAATTCCTGAATTTGAGATTAACGAAACGATAAAGAAGAACATGAGAATAAGATTAAGAACAAGAGAAAGTTTTCAAATTAGAAGGGGCCATGAGCCCAGTCTAGATCCTTTGGTAATGAAATAATTTACAAATGAGTCATTTTTAAACACAATTAGCACTCTCTACTGCCAAACATACATGATCACCTCAGCACCCATCAGGCAAACTAGAGGTGAAGGCCCCTGTGCTCTAGATTCACACATCCACCTTGGGCCTGCCTGAGCGTGCACGAACCCACTTCACAGAGGCCGGATCAGCACCAAGCCCATGGCTCCAGGCTGGTCCCTCCCTGCGTGGAGTTTGAATGCAACCGGGAGTCCTGGGCAAGGATGAGTCATCTTTCACTGTCGCATTCCTCTTGGAATCTCGGAAAAAGATGCCGAGTCAGGAGAACACTCAATATACAGATGACTCAGCACCAGGGCAGTTCCCCATAACCCCAGTGATCCCCCGACAGATTCTGCCAGTCATCAATTATAGAGAATTTTGAAGAATGCAGCTTATTAATATCATCTGACAACTGGCAAGGGAAGCTCATTTTTGTCCCCTACAGTGAAGGTGTGATTAGCTGAGCTTTCGCAGCATTCATATGAAGTCAAGCGTCCTCAGCGTTGAAGCTTAATGATCCTTTGATGTCAGCTCTTCCTATTTTTGTGAAGCAGAATTACATCAAGCGTTTCATTGTTCATCCACTAAGAGGGAGCATGAGCTAGTTTAGAGCACTTCGGCCTGAGACAGGTCAGCTTTATCCTGCTGACAGGGAGGTGCTGCAGCAGAACCCCCTTTCAGCACGAGAGGCAGTGCAGATTCAGACACATGGCGTCTGTGCTTTTCCGATGACCCGATGGCACAAAGCTGGGTGCGTCTAAATGCCTGAAAGAATCCCCCCTAAAAGATTAGGTCTGGAGTGGGGTGATAAACCTCGCAATGAGGTCACTGCTGCGAGTTCACAGAAGCATTTGAGCCCTGCGTGCTTGGAGGGCTCAGAGGGAGAGAACATTACCACAACGCTGAAGAGCACTTCAGCCTGTTCACCACAGGTTTTAAACCCCATTCATTTAAATCCACTCCCACTACCACACCAGCCTGCCTGGCTCTGGGAGTTCAGAGAGGACACATGATGGAGGAGCACATATTGTAGCTGGCTTTCTGGGATTTTCACCAGATCCCCAGGGATAAATCCCAGACTGACTTCCTTCCCTCTCTGGCCCCTGGAGTTACAATGCAGAGGTGAGGTAGTCGACTTGATCCTATTAATTTAATTCCTCCGCCTGCCTGACTATCTGTCAGTTTATCTATGTAATTGTATACAGGTATAATTATAATACATGCTAAAGTGCACATATTGTCTGAGGCAGCCTGAAAACGAAAGCACAACTTAATTAGTTTGAAAACACAAGACAGGCAGACTAATTAACCACCACATAAAAACGAACTCTTTTCAAGATGTGGATGACTTAAAATCTTCAGCTTCCATACTAGCCTTATCTTCTCTGTTCATTAAACACACAATCTTCTTCTTTCTTTCTGGGCTTTCTGTTTGTCTTGCTCCACTGCAGTCTGGGCTGCTCTCTGACTGCCCATGCTCACAGTTTTCCACACTCATGAAGTCAGCTCTCCACTGAAACTGTCCTCACCTGACATTCTGTGAAGCTCTTTCTATTGCAATGTGAGAAAAACCTATTGAACAAGTTATGTAGCTGGAAACCCCCCCATTAAGAGGGCAATATAACATTTAAGCTCTGGCATTATTTTCTGTGAAACTGAGTCATGGTACTTCAATCCAGAAGAATAATGAGTCCTTAGAGCTGTGAGAGAAGGTAAAGCAGACGGAAGGCTTCTCAGAAAGTCCTGTCTAGAGGACAGGCCAAAAGCTTGAATGAGCTGTACGTGAAGAAAATAAACCTTAACAGGACGGCCGCAATGGAAAACATGGAGATCTGGTGACAAACGAATGACTGGCTGCTGTATATTAGCACTGCCCAGAACTCCACGAAAGTGGAACACATAAAAGCCTAATTTCTGGAAAGCCTGGGATGTGTAAAACACTAGCAGTTACTAATGTAAAAGTTGGTTGTTACGGCACTAGCCAGCTAAATTATAGGACCCTATGCGGTGACTAATAGATCTCGAGAGAGAGAGAGCAAGGGAAGTTAGAAGGAAAATTTGAGTGTACTTATCCGAATAGCAGTTCAAGAGCTGCGGTCAAAGACAGGCTTGCTGGTCAGGAAGCCAAAGGCTCACCAGCCAGGTGAAATCTCGAGACAGAGCTGAGGAGCTCCACTTGGTGAAAACCAATACTGAGCGCTGAGGAGAAGGTGGTGAGGGCTTAACTATTTCGGGATGAAGTGGGTGCGGTGATGCAGGAAATGTCTGATTGGTCGATTAGTTAATGTGACGGCGTTTGCAGGAATTGGAGAGGACAGGAGTCTGATGAGGAACAATGCAGGATCGCTTGCGGGAGTTGCGTAGGATTGTCTGATCAGTCCCTCTGTCTGCTGCAGGGGATCTTTGCAAAAGCTTACTGGGACGGTTATTAAATAATCCAAAGAGCTGAAGAGCTAACAGGGAGACATTCAAACATTTTCACAGAACTGTATTTGCTCCCCATGTTCTGAAATCAGCTGTAAAATAGAGGCAGTCGCAAAAATGCAAAACAGTTGCAAAAATGGACGACAGTGATGAAAAGTAACATTACTTTGCTAAAATGTGTGTTTTTAATGTGGAGCCAGGCTAGGAAAGGTGGATCACATTCTGCATGAGCGAAAAGGCCTTGAAAGTCATCTCATTAACCTTTTGAGTGGACAGCAGCCGAGGGCTGAGCTGACCCAGGCTCCTCACAGAGCTCCAGTGCATAACGAGGTGGTTCTCAGAGAGAGCCTCTAACCGGACTGGAGCTCAATGGATTCAAGCTGCCTTACTCTGCTGAGATCCAGGTGTCTGTAGGGCATCTGGTGGAGGCAGTGAAAAGGTTAGTCTCCCCATACGAATATCCTAACTGGAGCAAGTAAAGGTTAATTTCACGCTGAAAAATGGAAATAAGAATCACACCATATCGCCTGTTGAGCTTTCCTCGGACATGAAGGCTCAACAACGAAATCGTCGTGTTTCTCTCTTCCAGCTTTCAGCATGGAATTGACCTTTACCCGGTCCTCTGCAGCCAACATACTGACGCAGATCCCCACTCGAAAATCCAAACAGAAGGAAAAGGAGATCGCAACCGCGAGCTCCCGAAAGCCGGAGGAGAGGGGCAGGGTGGTAAGCGAGGTGCTCGCTGCCGTGACGGCGACGTCACTCCCAATTCCCGCCAGCTTCGCCCAGCTGTTCCGAGGCCATGTGGAGCTGCACCAGGAGCCTCCGAAGTCTCCTCCGCTGCTCTTCCCTCCTGGCCCCGCAGAGCGCTCCCGGCCGGGGGCGGGAGACAGATGGAGCCTCTGTCCTGAAGCGACACCTCCCTCCGCTCAGACGCGCGCACAGCGCAGGCGGCCGGGCCCGCGGGACAGCGCGCTGTGTGTCTGCCTGCGGGCGCAGAGCGAGCCGCCATGCCGGCCCCCTCTGGTCCATTTTTCCCCTGTCTTACAGGGGCTGTTACAGGCCTCAGACACGGGAGAGCAGCAGTGGTGAAGCCAGGCCAAAGCCACACAGTCCCGCCTGCGGCTCAGTGCCGTCAGTGTCTGGGTCCCAGGAGGCTGAGGGCTTCGTCGCCAGCCAACGTGACCAGGGCCACTCTGCAGGAGGAGAAGGCTTTTCTTACTCTGGGCTGTGTTCAAAATGAATCTGCCAATATGCTGGGCTTATTTTCACAAAAGAGAAGAAACAAAATTGCGAACATTAATCAAGTAGCAGGAGCGTTCTAGCTGCCTGCGGCGTGTCTGAAATTAGAATCCGCAGTCAGGATTGCAGATGCACCCCACTCTCTCCAGGACTCCCCAGGCTGAGGAGCTCTGCCGGCTGCCGTGTGGTTCTCGAAGATTGCTTTGAGAAAATACACACCAAGTCAGTACAGAAGAAGCTGCAAGAGAAAGGAGGGGTCAGGGCTCTGGGAACCAGACTAGAGGGCCTTGGTACCCCTGAGGAAGGCACCTTACTTCAGGAAAAACACCTCCTTGCGCTAACGGGTACAAATATAAGTTGCTTTCGTTGCACGCATCTGCCAAATGTCACATTAATTCAATCTTTTTCATAATTAAGCCATTTTCATTCCGCTGAAAGCTGATCAGAGCTTTCTGTGCAGTTCGCAGATGTCTGACAGCCCTCAGCACTCCTCCCCTCCCTCCAGTCTAAACAAGGAGACAGAACCCCAGACAGGCCCAGGCTGCTACCACACTCTACGGCTGAGCTACAGTACGTCCTGCTCCTGCAGTGCCTGGGATCAGCAGCTGTCCACAGGGACCAGGGACTGAGTTTCCCTCGGTGTCACCGCACTGAGCAGGGGGTGCCCTGCGGAAGCCCCCTGCTGGTAATAAGCACAAAACACCTTATCAGGGCGATGATGGTCTGAAGGAGTAGGAATGAGGACAAGGAACAAACCAGCGAGACTGCTCTCCTTCTGGCAGGATCAGGCAATTTCACTTGGTTCTGTCCTTCCAGGAGGGGGAATGTCTAGGAGGGGAGTGGCAAACTGACTGAGCCCTGGCAGTGCAAACTGGTTCACTGTGGAGGGGAAGAGTAGACCAGTACCAGAGCTACACCCACAACAGGAAAACGAGCCCCACCACTATATCAGTAACTATTCGATTTTCCTTCTGAATCGGACCCTACGTGTGACTCAAGGCCCAACTAACACGGGGCAGGTGAGCCGGGCCTGGAGAGTAAGCTCAGTGCCCTCTCGTTTACGCCCAGGACTGGCA